ACTTGTATGAGTTGGCTTTTAAGGTGGAGCCTGAAAGTGGGCTGACGAGCCTATTCCGATGGAAATGGAAAATATGGATGATGGTAATCTTGAGGAAAAGGATGATGGAAATATGAAACAGGTTTCAGGGAAGGAAGTTGGGGGTGATTTTGGTGGACAGTCTAGTGGAGGTGGTGGATCGTCCGTACCTTCTGCTCAGTTGAGTTTGTTACCTGAATATGATGGGTTGACTGCTTCTGATGAGGAGTTTGATGGCCTGAAGGGAGAACCTGTAGTGGTTGAAAAGCTGAGAACTCAGGAAAGTCTGGGGACAAAACTTGCTGCAATTCCTGAAGCAGTAATTTCACCTTCTAGGAAGAGCAAGAGAAGAGCAAGTGATAGCGATCAGATTGTTCTTGAAAGAGCTGAGAAGCTGAAAGCTGAAAAGAACTTGGTGTATATGCAGGCTAAAGGTAAGTCTCAAAATAATATTTCTTTTTTACAATTTACAAATGAACAAATATCTGCTTCTCTTGATAATCTTTGTGTCATTACTTTGGGTACGAATTTTTTATTAGATGATGTTATTAATGATTTAAAGAGTATAGAGGAGAAGAGATTAGGGAATTTTGTTTGTAGTTCAGTTAATCAAGCTTCTACTTCAATTGTTGAGAGTGAGTTATTAGATGACCATTTGGATGATAATACTTTACTTCAACACTTATGTGGTGATATTATGGAAGAGGTGATGGATTTAAGTGGTGTAGATGATAATTATTCTCAGGCCACTTTGAATTCTTTGGTCCCTTCTCCTAATACTAAGAAATCTGCTAAGAAGGGTAAGAAAAAGAAATCCATAAAACAATAGTTTCTTATGAAAGGGATTTTTTGGAATTGTGATGGGTTTAAGGACCCAAAAAAACATAAGTTCGTTTCTGATTTAACTAAGAAGCATCAGCTTGATTTTATTGCTTTGTCTGAGACTATTAAAAAAGATTTTTCTCCAAATGCACTTAAAAATCTTTGTGCTGGCAAGGAATTTTTGTGGCATTGCAAACCTCCTAGAGGTAGGTTTGGTGGTTTTCTATTGGGTATTAATTTACTTAATGTAGACATTGGCCTTATTGATGAGGAGGACTTTTATATTAAGTTCCATCTATGTAATAAAGTGGATAAGTTTAAGTGGGCTTTAGTTCTGGTTTATGGGCCTACTCAGAATGAGTTTAAGGAACAATTCCTTGTTAAGTTAGTTAATATGTGCAGTCATGAAACCTTATCAATTCTTATTGGTGGTGACTTTAATATCCTGCGTAGCCCTGATGAAAAAAACAATGATAATTATGATGATAGATGGCCTTTTTTTTTAATGCTATTATTGATGGGTTATGCGTAAGGGAGATTCAAATGTCTGGTAAGGAATTTTACTTGGGCAAACAATCAAGCAAATCCAACATATGAGAAGCTTGACAGGGTTTTAATGTCTACAGAGTGGGAAGAGAAATTTCCTTTATCTTCTGTTGTGGCTCTTAATAGGGATATCTCTTATCATACCCTTTTACTGTTGAATACAAATTCTTCATTTCTGAGTAATGCTCAACATAGTTTTAAGTTTGAACTTGGTTGGCTATTACGGGATGGTTTTGTTGAGATGGTGAAGGAAATTTGGTCTAGTGTTGACGAAGGCAATACTGCTATGGAGAGATGGCAGGCAAAAATTCGACGGTTACGATAGCATCTTAGGGGCTGGTCGAAAGATACTAGTGGTTTATATAAAAAAGAAAAGAAAGAAATTTTAGATAAGTTGGATTTGCTAGATAAAAAGGCAGAAAGTTCCCTTTTGAGTCCGGAAAAATTGGATATTAGATGGTGTTATAGGAATAGATTATCCTCTATTCTGAGAGAGGAGAAGATCAAATGGTATCAGAGGGCTAAATCAAAGGATATTTTAGAGGGTGATTCTAATACAAAGTATTTTCATTTAGTTGCAAATGGAAAACATAGGAAAACTAGAAATTTTCAATTACAGGATGGTGACCATTTGATAGATGGTGATGCAAATTTAAAATCGCATATTACCACTTATTATAAGGGTCTTTTTGGGCCTCCTGATGATTCTTTACTTCAATTTGATGAGAGTAGAGTTGCTGATATTCCTCAGGTCTCTCTTTTGGAGAATGAGGCTTTAACTCAAGATTTCACTGGAAAGGAAATTAAGGAGGCTATTTTTCAGATGGAACATAATAAAGCGCCGGGTCCTGATGGTTTTCCTACTGAATTTTATCAAGTTTTTTGGAATGTCATAAAGAATGACTTACTTGAGCTGTTTAAAGAGTTTCACAATGGATCTTTGCCTCTATTCTCGCTTAACTTTGGTACTATCATTCTTTTACCTAAGTGTGTAGAGGCCATGAAAATTCAACAATATAGGCCTATATGCTTACTTAATGTTAGTTTCAAGATTTTTACCAAAGTTGCCACAAATAGAGTAATGAGTGTCGCCCAGAAAGTCATTAGTCCTACTCAAACTGCTTTTATTCTTGGGAGAAATATCATGGAGGGTGTGGTTATATTGCATGAGACTTTACATGAATTGCATCGTAAAAATAATAGTGGTGTAATTCTAAAGATTGATTTTGAGAAAGCCTATGATAAGGTTAAATGGTCCTTTGTTCAACAGACTTTGCGGATGAAGGGCTTCTCTCCTAAATGGTGTGAGTGGATAGTCTCTTTTATCCAAGGAGGTCACGTTGGTATTAAAGTCAATGATCAAATTGGAGATAATTTCCAAACTCATAAAGGCCTTAGACAAGGGGATCCATTATCTCCAATTCTTTTTAATATAGTAGCTGATATGTTAGCTTTGCTAATCAAAAGGGCTAAAGATAATGGTTTGCTTAATGGGGTAATTCCTCATCTTGTTGATGATGGTTTGTCCATTTTACAATATGCAGACAATACTATCATTTTTTTGGAGCATGACTTACAACAAGCAAAGAACTTGAAATTGATTTTATCTGTGTTTGAAAAATTATCTGGCCTGAAAATTAATTTCCACAAAAGTGAGTTATTTTGTTTTAGTCAGGCGAAAGATTGCTATGATCAATATTCGAGTATCTTTGGTTGTAAGCTTGGGTCTTTTCCTGTTAAATATCTGGGTATTCCAATGCATTTCAGGAAGCTAAGTAATAATGATTGGAAGGTAATTGAGCAAAGAATAGAGAGGAAACTTAGTAGTTGGAAAGGAAAACATATGTCTGTTGGAGGTAGATTGGTTTTGATTAATTCCGTCCTTTCTAGTTTAGCTATGTTCATGATATCTTTCTTTGAGATTCCGAAAGGGGTTCTTCAAAAGATTGATTATTATAGATCACGTTTCTTCTGGCAAGGGGATGATCATAAAAAGAAATACAGATTAACTAGATGGGATATAATTTGTCAACCCAAAGATCAGGGTGGTTTGGGTGTTCATAATTTAGAGATTCAAAATAAATGCCTGTTAAGTAAGTGGTTATATAAGTTAATTAATGAGAATGGTGTGTGGCAAGATTTATTGAAGAGGAAGTATCTTCATAATAACTCTATAACCCAAGTGGATAGGAAACAAGGTGATTCTCATTTTTGGTCAGGGCTCATGAAAATAAAAAACACCTTTTTAAGTATGGGCTCTTGGATTGTGAATTATAGTCAACATATAAGATTTTGGGAGGATAAATGGGTAGGAAACATGGCCTTCAGAGATAAGTATCCTTCTTTATATGCTATTGTCAGAAGGAAGAGTGCTACTATTGCCAGTGTTATGGCCTTGGTTCCGCTAAATGTTTCTTTTATAAGAGCTTTAGTTGGACAGAACCTAACCCTTTGGTATGATTTATGTGCTTCTATTGCTCATATCCAGTTGGATGATTCTTTTGATTGTTTTAGATGGAATTATCATCAGAATGGCTAGTTCTCTGTTAGATTAATGTACTTAGCTTTAATTAATAATGGTTACATTGACAGAAATAAGTTTATTTGGAAGCTTAAGATGCCACTTAAGATTAAGATCTTCATGTGGTACTTGCTTAAGGGTGTCGTGTTAACCAAGGATAATTTAGCAAGATGAAATTGGAATGGGTGTTGACGATGTTGTTTTTACATGAAAAATGAGTCTATTCAACATTTATTTATGGATCCTCATTATGCAAAGTTTATTTGGAGAGCGGTTTAATTTTCTTTTGGTTTATACCTCCCTAGAAGTATATCTCATATGTTTAACAGTTGGCTTCAGGGTGTGGACAAGGAAAAGAGTAAACTGATACTTTTTGGTGCCTCGGCTTTATGTTGGGCTCTGTGGTTGTGTAGAAATGATAGGGTTTTTGACAAATCACCATCTATTTCCTATATGCAGGTAATTTTCAGGGCAACATATTGGTTTCGACTGTGGGCCCAACTACAAAAGTGTGAGGAAGATGGAAAATTACTGTCTGTTGCATGTCGTAACCTTGAGTCAACGGTTATGCAACTTTTTACCAACCATGGATGGAGATTCATCAATAGAATGGAATAATGTTTTCCTTGTCATGTTAGAATTTCTTTTATTTTTGGTTGATGTGCTTGTTTAATTTTGGACTAAGCCATTTTAGTGTGCTACTTCTTGTAATAATTGGCTGTAGCTTTCATGAGCAAAAGCCGGGATGATTCATTCCATTATCTAAAAATAATGTGTTGGGAAAAACTGGGAATGGGCTGAAGGGGCAAATAAGGGTGTGTTGGCTGCAACGTCCTTTGTTATTTTAGCCTTTGTATAGGAGAGGATAATTGGTCGAACTTTTGTTTGGTACAGATGCATGCTGATCCAATGGTTACACAACCTGATTGATCTGGCATCATAGAACTGTGAGTTTGTAGCTGTAAATGACACGAAGTGAGTAGTTGTACATATATAAGAAGAAAGTATATCTTCATGTATGCTGCATCAGCATGCGTGCAGCTCATCGAGCATAGATGACCTGTGTCGGGCCACAACTAAAGCCCATCATAGATGAGGGTTCAACGGTGATGGGTATGGCCATGAAGCTCAATTTTCAACAGGATTATTTTCAGCCCAACATAGATGAATACCTTTTTTATGGGCCACTGGTCTCCGTCATAGATATCTATGTACTAGTGATAGTAATTATGGTTTTCCAAAATATTACATGCAGCAAATGTTTTTCTTCATATCTCTGATGTGATCATTTACTCATGTTTTCACAGTTGACTTGATCTGGTTGAGGAATATACATCAGAGAGTATTGCCGGAAATCCATCTTGCAAACATCTCGAGACACTCCTTAGGTTTATACTCCGGAGCAGTGTGCCCAGCACCCTGAAGTATTGATGTACACTTAAGTGAAGGTTATAAATATCTCTTATTACCACCAGCCACAAGTGTAAATATTCTGGACATGGAGATAATCTTGAGAAAGCAACTTGTCAATTTTTTTTGTAAAAGCTCAATATAATAAGTACAATATCACAAAAACGTAAAAAAAAATAACTTGCATGTATAAAAACACACCTTCACGGTTGCATATGTCAGGTTATTATTCGCATGGCTTCTTGTGAATCTATAAAACAAAGTAACCATATTAGGCTAAGATATAGGTAATGGTCGCAATGCATATCGCGGCAGATGTCCCAAGCAGCTCGGATGTAGTGAATTGGAATATTTATGTTGCATAAAATAAGAAATAGCAATATGAACCAGCGCCACATATAGGAAAAGCATATATATATTGCCAGCAATGTTGGGAGCAAAATATTCGACGCTAATTCAAAGATCATGCTTTTATGGTTTGAGGAAGATAAGGACCATGTACAACGTGTAAGCCATTGGGAGAACAACTTCGTCTTTTGAGGTAATATTGTTAGTAGTTTTCTTGTTTTTAGTCAAACCATAATTTTCTAATTCGCAATTATTCATCATATTTGAACTCTATAATACTGGTTGTATAGCTTCATGGAAATAATGAACAGAATAAATTCTATTGTATTAAAAAATAACTGTAAATACATATTCCACTCATCAGCCACTTCCCCAACTGGCCTTCATGATATGTCAGAATTTATTAGTTATAAGTATGATAATCTTCACATTTATTAATTTTTACTATTGTTAAAAAGCCAGTGAAAGATACTACTCCCTTTGTAAGTCATTTTGGGAGTCAAATTCTTCATCAAGTTTGTTCAAATTTATAATGTGATGGAGTACAATTATTTCTTGTGCTAATATATTTGCACCTCATGGTAGGTTAACTGTAGAAACAACGGTATTTGCTTAACGGCTAACCAAAAGCGTATAATATTTGACATTGTGTTCTATTGTATTAAAAATTAATGCATGATATGCAAAAGGGTCTGTAGCCTAGTGGTTACAAGAACCTCAGTAGCACCTGAGGTCCTGGGTTCGCTCCCAGTGGGAGGCGACGTACCCAGCGATAGCGAAACGCCTATGGTGACTTCGTCAATTTCTCCAATTTTACTGGCCCAGTCTTCGAAGATACTTATAGGGGTAGGGTTTGCGTGCGTTGTGAGTGTCTGAGTTGTACTGTATAATTCTAAAAAAAAAATTAATGCATGATACTCTTGCTTGGAATGGTAATGGGGGTACCGTAATTTTTGAAGTTAATTTGGGATTCCTTTACATCATTTTTACGAAGGCACTGAAATATACCAATATTTACACTAAACATATCTCGTGCTACAAAGTGCAGTAGCTCACACTAGAAAGTGCAATATATCCCCCGAAATTATAATCACTCTTGAAATTGACTGTCAACGGAAATATTTACTTCTTACCCGGCAACTTGTCCAGCAACATACCATGGTCGCCAATCATCAACTACAGAAAGGTTGAGAAATCTAATCCATGCTTGTGTACTAGTGAAAGGAATTCCACAATCGTGATCACCGCTGCATCATTAATTAATTAAATGAAAAAAAATAATCCATGGGTTAGCCTGTTTAATTTGCTATCGACGAGAAGAGCAATTTGGTGGATTTGAACCGCAAGGTTGCAATCAAATTTAATATATAAAGGATCGGAAGATGGCATGATGTAGCCGAGGATTCCATAATCTTATAAAAGAATTTTAGTTTCCAATATGTATAGTAGTTGAGTTCCATGTAAGAATATATAACTGCATGTATATTTTGTGAATAAGAGAAACGCAACAGTTCGGTATCAGAGGACATAAGTGTACATATTGATCAATTATTTGTTCGATATATAATTACCTGTATATCAATGATCGGTATCCTTCTCTCATTAGCGTCAAATGATACTCCACTGTACTATACACATCTTTAATGTAATCTATATCGTAATTGCATCTTGTCCACTTTCCAACTGTTCCCTGTATTGTATAGCAACTTCTATGAATTAAACTCGTATATATGCATAACTATCATGCAATGCAAATTAATCCTTTCCCTTGGCCTTCACAGCGGATAGGCTGAGTTTCGGTTCAAAGAATTATTCTGATATAAAAGGATTCAAAGAATGATTAGCCTTCTGTAAGGACAATGCTGAATTTGTAATATGATAATCGGCCTAATTTCATGCGGAAGACCAACTGCAAAGTGAATTTATATATTCACTTTGCAAACTTTGGATTTCCATCCACCAGTAGCAAAGTGCATATACTTTGAAAAGTCAATGGAAGCATACATAGTACCATAGTAGAAATACCTTGTGCACACCAAGACTCTCCCTTACAGTTTTATCATTTGCCCATATTTTTAAAACCACATAGGAAGCTTTCTGCAGTAAATAAGCCAAATTAGACTTTCTTAGGTCAAGTGCTATCCAAGGAAAACTAGAGCAGATAAATTGGAATTCAATGGGATGTAGTAATTAATGTTGTATTTTTCATGCACTCAACTCTACACTTGAATTCAATAATGTCATCATCAGCAGCACGAGCAGACTCCAGCATGAGCCTACTCATTCCATCTGTCGCTGATGTGTTATGGATCCTGGGGCTCCAGACTTCTTCACATAATGGCTCAAGAACATGTAGCATGTTGATGTCCTTTGTGCACTGATTAATTTGTAAAATATGTAATTAGGCCACATAACAGAGAACTATACACAGCAATTTCAATTACATTATTGACAATTGTATACACACAAACAGTAGCTAGTACTGATACTACCTATGTCCCAAAATATATGATTCCATTGACTTTTAGCACAATATTTGACCATTCATTTTATGAAAAAATATATAAATAATATTAATTTTGTTTTAACTTGTCTTATCATCAAAGAAATTATAATGTTGTCTTATAATTTTGCATATTTAATCTAAATTTTTGAATAAGATGAATGGTTCAATGTTATATAAAAAGTCAACAGCGTCGTTCAACGTCATATAAAAAATCAACGCCATTATACATTTTGGGACGGAGGGAGTATAGTTTTTCTTGGAATACTTACATTGCGTATAGCTTGGATAGACTGCTCACACCGAGCATTCCCTGGGGCACTGTATTTCCCTCTGCAGGTTTCTTTAGCATGCTGGTAGAAAATTGGTTTGAGTGGTCAGTATATAATATGTAAGAAATATTACAATAGATTTTGCACGTAGGCAATAGTACCTTTTGCCCTGTTCGAATGTCATGTATGAATAAATATTTTGGGCAGCACACTTCGCAAGCTAAACGTTATGATTTTATAAAACAAATTATATATACACGGTTGGTAGAATATGTTTTTAAAAGCAACTTTTCAACTTTGTAATATAGTTAATTGTCAATTTATTAGTTCGTGCTCTCGGGTATTATAAAAAAAAATCAGATACTCCATCATCCTATTCATCCTTTCAGCTGAAAAGAATTAGAATATTGCCTAGTTGGTCAGATATATACTGCCGTGATCTGTTATTCATAATGAAACAGGCCGGTGTCTTTTTTTTTGGAATTAATACCTACAAATATTTGCTGAATGTACTATAGGAAACATATAAAGTTATTAATTACTGGATTATGGATTACCTCATAAAGTTCATTGGATATAAGTCCCATGCCATGGAGACATGGAATTTTACCATCTTCATCAAATTGGCTATCGGTCACTGGATTGCCAGCAACATACCCCTGCGTTATAAAGACAAGGTAAATAAAATGGTTGAAGGCAAAAGTTAATTACAGGGCAGATTGGTAGTACACATTAACAAGCAATTTATGTAGACTATTGACGTAATTAAGATTCCAAATATAAAATTTCATGATTGATATTTATCTGATAAGATCGATCAGACCATGAGATTCAAAATTGGCTTATCTCCTGAATCATTGCCTGAAAAATAAGATGCATAATCAGTAGTTAGTAGTTAGTAGTTGGAAACACGCACAATTAATCCGCGCAGAAAGTGAACACCAAATTTGTCTTTAACTCATGAATAAAAAATATATATATATATATATATATCTCTGTCCTAATATTGTTGTGATAGTATTTAGTTAGTAGGAAAAGAAAAATCTTTCTAGTAATTATTGTGATAGTAATTGATACATGGTGACAACCATTTCCCATATGAGAGATGGTATTATTTACCGAAATATATTCCGAAACTGCTTGTTGATCAAATTTAATGTTGTGTAACAGTACGAGGATGTCTAAGGAAATTATCCATTCACAAGGCAAGAAGCTTACTTTCATCGATCGCTAGCGCAAGTGTAGGTACAATGATACCACTATATGAGTCACCTCCAATATACAGCGGACTCAACAAGAACTGGGGATGATCGTGAAGCCACTGTATAAAGCAAATGTTTTAGAACAATGATCACTGGAAGATCTGCTATACACCGAGGGGCAATATAAATGAATATGAGAAAAAAAAACCTCAGTCTTGTGCTGTGATAGCGCATCAGATTAAAAGTACATAACGTGCTACTGCTTTTGCATCTTCAAGCTGTGATTTATGCTCAATCAAAGCAGAGTTTTGCTCAACAAACTCCGTACATCACGGAGCAAGATTTAGTATCTCCACCGAGAGATAATTACTGGAATTTTCACAATTTGGTCCTTTTAAAAAACTTATTTCACAAATAGACCTAAAAAACTTATCATAGAAATAGTCATTTATGGACGCTAGAGTCGCTGGTGCCGTCCTCCTGCCACCGTGGCGGGTTGGTGCTGACGTGGCGGGGGAGCACGCCAATAAGGCTGATGCCACCCCTGTCCAACCCACGCCATTTTTTTTCCTCTCCTCTCTAGTGCAGAGGAGAGATGTGCAACTTTTTTATTTTTCTTTTATTTTTTCATATTTTTTCACACTTAGGAGTAGGGGTGAATATGGGGCAGGTATTTCCCGCCCGCCCGCCCAGCCACATTGGGTATTTTAGGATAAATTCGGGTACCCGGGACTTTTCACGGATATTGGGTCCGAATACGAGTATTTTATGGTGGTTATGGTATTGGGTTCGGGAAGTAGTATCCGACGGATATGGATTATCCGGTAAAATTCGGATATTACCCGGATAAATATACGGATATTACCCGTATTAGTTTTTGTGAGACACTTTTTGGTATTATGTATTCGCGGGGGGGGGGGGTGCCAGAGAGGCTGGCGCGCTCCCCCTGCCACGTCAGTACCTGGCCACCACGTTGGCAGGCATTGGACGATGGCGCCAGCCACTCTGACGCCCCAAAAATGACTATTTCCACGAAAAGTTTTTCTAGGAATCTATTTGTGAAAAAAGTTTTTCAAAAGGACCAAATTGTGAAAAATCCAGGAGATAAATCCTTGATTAGTTAATTCTGAATCTTATACCTAAGCTATTAAAAATAAAATTGGGCTATGGCCTCATAACAACATGTGTTTTATAATCGCTGTCGACGGGGGATACCCGTAGACCGGAAATAGAGGGTATTGGGGTACGCTGGTACGAGGATCTACGTAGTACGACATCAAGCAAATAGGAAACAGGGATTATACTAGTTCAGGCCCCTTGGTAGGTAATAGTCCTAATCCAGTTGATATGGGATTATATGATGGAAACCACAGATTACAAAGGGAATAGTAGAACTCGACGATACCAACGAGATCGTAGTCGAGTTGATCCGACTAGATCTCCCCGCGACTTGGCTCTCACAAGCTCCGGCTTCGTAAGCTGTGGTGGGTGTGTTGGCTCTGAGATTCGATGCCTTAGGTCCTCCCAGGGGGTCCCTTTTATACCGCAGGTCAACTGTCTCCAAGTAGGACTTGGAGAGGCCAGACCGAACACGACACAATGACGACCCAGTTCTGACCGAGTAGGACTCCTTCCATCTGTGAACTCCATGATGTATTTCCTTAATGTATGCCGAAAACGTCCGTATACGCGTGAGCATACCATACCGATACGTGACGTATATCCAAGGGTAGAGGGTATACCTTACCCGTAACCCTGACAGTAGCCCCTGACTTCTGCTTAAATGAACTCGCGAAACCGATCGCAACTTCTGATGTCGAAGTTGTCGTCGTTCTCGGTGTGAGGACCGAGAGACAAGGAGTGATCGACAACATCGGGTGAAGTTCAACGGTCATGAGTGAATTTAAATTGAAGTCCGAAAAACTGCCGCGCGTAACGGACCTAGAAATTTCCGGCGGTCATCTCTCCTTTCCTTGGAATTCGCACCGGCGGAGGTGCGTCTATTTAAGGGAGTTTTGGGGATCTAATTTGAGGTCCGCCTGTTAAAAAAACTCTCCAGCTTCCAAGCGTCCTTCGTCTTCTTCGCTCTCGCAAAAACCCTAGCCAACTCATCTCGGTCCTTTCTCCGGCGATCTCCGGTGGCCATGGATCTCGACAAGTCTACCTCCACCAGTGCGTCAATGAAAAAACTACAGGAGGATGGCGCCCTTCCCGGTCGCGGGACCGCGGAGAGGGAAGTAGGAGGTACTGAACCCCAGCCTGTCCTGGGTCGCATGGTTGCGGTTGAGGACTTTATTCTCTGCGGTTTTCTTCCACCGCCTTCTGAATTTCTCCTTTTGGTCTTGAATTTCTATGGTCTTTCCTTGCTCCATTTGAACCCCAACTCCATCGCCTTCCTGAGTATTTTTACGCATCTTTGTGAGGCCTACATTGGGGTGGAGCCGTTTCTTGACCTCTTCCGCTTTTACTATGAGTTACGCTGGATGGAATCCAAAAAGGTGTCCGAGTGTGTTGGTTTCCGACTTCGGGATGGTCTGAAGTCGCGATACATCCCCTTTCAGTGCCCCTCATCTCGCAGCAAATGGCGGGGGAGGTGGTTCTATCTTCAGATAGAGGATTTGGATCCTGTCTTCGTTGTTCCTGAGGAGCAGCCAGACAAGATTCCATCTTGGACCACTAAACCTGCCTTGACCCCGTCCCTCCAATCTTTCATCGATATCGTTGATGACCTCCGAGAACGGGGGTTGTCGGGGTATGAAGTTGCTGCCGACTTCATTGGTAGGCGGATCCAGCCGCTTCAGGCTCGAGCCCATCCTGCCTTTGATTATTCTAGGCCAGAGGACGCGACCCGGGTTTCTCCTCGGGGTATTTCCTTTTTAGTTAAATTGACTCCCTTATGTGCGTGTTCTTCCCGGCTTATCGAATTCTGGTCTCGATCTACAGGCTTGGATAGCGCAACCGTGGAGCGCTGTGTTGGCTAACGGATGATTAGCGGCCCAACAACGGCGAGCAACGTCCCCGTCCCCCTTTTGCGAGAAAGGGGTAGCCGAGCGACGCTGCCATCAATGTAAGTGTACTTAGCGGTCCTTTTGCATTTTTCTTCCGGGATCGCATTATGACTTTATGAAGCGTAGGCTCTCCCTTTGACTGATATCATCGGGCCGCTCGTGGACCATCAGGTGGCGGCATCACTGAAGGAGAAGGTCGCCAAGGGGGTGTCTGACACTGCTGCTGCCGCTGCCACGACGAGTAGCGGCGACGTTCCGAAAAAGGGGAGGAAATTCTCCTCTGTAGTTGGACATCATCAGAAGACACCCACCACCTTGGTAAGTTCTCCTGTTATTTGATCACGTAGTCGGAAAACTTCCACCTCACATCATATCGATTGTACTACAGGCCTCGGACGCGTCTCCCCCGCCTCCGCGACGGCAGCGGCTTATGACGCTCAGCGAGAAGTAAGTGAATGGATTTGACGTTTCATGATTTTGTCGAACTCTGTCTCAATCGTAGCCTTTTGCAGGGCGGCGCGGGCGAAGGCGGCGCAAGATAGGTCTGGAGGGACCTCTAGCGCGTCTTCTGCCGTGGCCTCGACGGATGTCGTGGCCGTGCCCAGGAGCCGTGAGGCGAGACCTAGCGGTCTGGCCAGCGATCACGTGGCTGGTCGTGGTTCGCCGGCTACCGTCCTCACCTGGGAGGAGCTCCAGGTTGAGATGGGGTGCCTCCTCGAAGCTGGTGCTCGAGGTGTTAGCCGCGAGATTGCGGAGGCGAGGGTGGCGGCTGGGTCGTCGGCGAACGAGCGCGCCGATCGGCTGGCGCGTGATCTGGCGGAGGTTCGCGAGGACCTCTAGAAGATGAGGGAACTGGTGGCCAGCAACAAGCGACAACGGCAGGGGCTCGAGCACCGTATGTCGGAGCTTGAGAACAAGTTGTCGGAAATCCGTGGCTCGTTGCGGGTCACCTATACTGGTCTGCATCAGCTCGCCGGGGAGTGCGGTACCAAGTCCACCATTCCGGCGAATCCCGATGAGTTCTCGCTGACGTCTTCTCTTGCGGAGCTGGTGACGGCGATGGAGGAGATCCCCTCCAAGCATGCGGCCAGGATCGGAGAGGAGACGTCTAACGGGATCTACACCGGGGCGTGCCAAGTCCTTGCGTGTGTGAGGCTGGCGCACCCTGAACTCGATCTGCGGAAGATCTTGGATCAGGGGGCGACTAGCGACGCGCGCAAGGATGTGATGGAATAGGTCGGCGATTTGGGGGAGTCCGTCCTCCCGCTTTTCGAAGAGTAGGGTCTTAGCTCTCTTGTACTCTTTAGTCATGCTTTGTGTGCGATCATTGCCTTAACCTTCTTTAGCATTTTGATCTCGAGTACTTTGTTGTCCTTTGTAGAGATGTTAATGTCGATGATGTCCAGCAGCGCGGGCAGCCTGAGTTGCCAGTGGTCGTTCCGTTACTTGCGTCCGAGCAGCATGTGCCGGAAAGCGATGTAGATCGAAGTTTGCCAGTGGAAACGAGCATGGCAGCGACTCCCTTAGGTTGGTTGTCTTTGTTACCATCTCCTTTGCCCTTCCGTCTGGATCGACTTAATTTGTTGTGTTCTTAGGAGAGAAGAGCAGCTTGACTTAGTCGTTTCCATGCTGAGCAGATCTCGAGAGTGCGCTTGCTGACCAGGATCGTCGCATCCAGTATTGGAGGACGAAGTTTGAGGTTGCGGAACTCGAGAGGACTATGCTAGAGGTGAGAAAGGACCAGGCCATAGAGACACTCCGGGGTCATGAGGTGTGGTTCAACTCGTATCTGAAGAGTTGCTGCACATCCATGTCGAGAGTCTGTAGAAAGCTCCGAGTACCCCATGGGGATCCCGAGGAATCGGTGGCCGGATACATCTCGTGGCTGAATGGGGCCTGCGCCCAGCTCGAAGGCATCGGTCAACGTGTCGACGAGGCCTTGAAGCAGGAGTGTCGTCGCTCAAGCTGATATGCCGGGGGGCTCGTGTCGGCCTGCGTACGAGATCATTGTCCGCAGCTGCTCCTTGAGTTCCTCCGCGAAGGGTTTTCACGTTCTCGGAGAACTCCTACGGAGATAGATGGCTTGGCGAAGTCGATGGCGCCGCTGGCGG